AGCACATGGCGATCACGGTGGCTGATGTGGTGTGACATTATCGACATCTGAAGTTTCAAGTGTGGCATCCACACGCACACGCACACGCACACGCACACGCACACGCACACGCACACGCACACGCACATGCACAACACACAGCTGTTGATTGCTGTGTCACCTGGGTTGGCGGACGATTGACAACGGCCTTGTAGAAACAGGTTGTTTGTGGATACATGGCAAGCACAATGTCGCCAACCTCAAAATGCTGCGATTGTGTGTGTGTGTGTGTGTGTGTGTGTGTGTGTTTCGTGCGTGTTTCGTGTGTGTTTTCGTGTTTGCGATGCAGCGTGAGTCAAGCCTGGTGTGGTCAGTGTGGAGGATCAGTCATCAGGACAGGTAGACATCCACACAGCCAGGTGTCGACACACGTCGAACCTAGGCAACATGATGCAAAGGAAACACACCGCCATTGTAAAGTCGACGCGAGGTGCCCAGCGCGGGAGTGGAATGAGCCGGGCACGCGGCAGCTCGTGCCATTTGCTGCATCGCACAGGCAGTTGGTGCAACAGGTGAGGTGGGCAAATAAGGCTGAAGAAACACGCTGTGCACATGTACACGCTCGCAGTTACGCAAGCAGATGGAGGCGCACACGAGCAAGCAAGCAGAGTGACCGCAAGCGTGCAAGGGCGAAAACACACACACACACATCCACACACACACGCCCCCTTTACGCACACGAACAAACACAAACACACACACGAACAAACACAAACACACACGCATGCGCATGCACAACCCTCACTCTGTGCCAGGATGCAAGATGTCCTCCACACTGTAGGTGCTCTTGTTCGCGTCAACCACAACCGATAGAATCCACTCATCCTCAACCAATGCAGCAACCTGCAGCAATCACACACCCCGTCAGCACCACGCACGCATGCATGTCCTGTCTTGCGCATGCAATCGCAAACAGCCACGCTCTGGCACACACACACACATACACACACATGCGCGCGCACCTCCTGTCCTGGTACGATGTCGTCGCCCTCCAACGCTGGAAACGCTCCACACAGTGGCACATGCCTGTGCAGCAAACAACCATGTGCATGAGATTCCCCGCACGTACACACATGCGCGCACACACGCACACACACACACACACATACGCAAGTACGCACGCACACACACACACACACATACACGCATGCAACTTCCTGCCATGACTCACTTGAGAATGGGCCACACGGGCAGGTCTGTGGGGAGAGCATTGATGGCCGCGGACTGTGATGATCCAACTGCACACAAGCATACACGTGCAAAGGAGATGAGATGCACAAACACACACACACACACATTGAGTGCATGAACAGCCACCACATTGTCCCCCGGTTACACACCTGTCTGTGCATTTGTTCGCTCCTTGATCAGTGTATCCAGTGCGCGCACGCACGCCCGTGTCACACTGCCACACAGCACGCCATGAGTATGATTAGGTGTGCAGTCACACACAAATGCACACATTCACGCACGCATTCACGCATTCATTCACGCATTCATACACACACACACACATTCTCACACACATTCACATTCACATTCACGCACAACATTCACCCACACATATGCACATGCACACTCTTACCTTTCAAAGCTGGCAACCTTCGTTGCAAGCTTCACGTGGCCGCCATGTAGTTGTCTCGCTGCAACCGGCGCGTGCCCTGATCACGCATTTATTCCCATGTCGGTGAGCGTCTAAGATCGCACACTGACACTCACACATGGACACAAACTTACCACTCACTCACATCATTCACTCACTCACTCACTCGCTCACTCACTCACTCACTCACTCACTCACTCACACACACACACATGCACACACACACACATGCACACACACACACACACATCACTCACTCACACTGACACGCCACACTGCACACGCTCGCAGTCACATACCGGTGTGCAGGGTGTGTGTAAACTGTGCCTTGTCCTCCTTCACTGCCTTCTCTGCTTGTGCAGCCTCCTTGCGCTTGACCTGCCACGACTCCAGCAGCTGCGCAAGGTACTCCTCCGTCTCCATCGCCCCCTTTTCCTCGTGCCAGCCAACGCTTCCAACTGCCAGAGCCAGACTGCCAGTGCCTCTCGTGCCAATCTCCTCCCTCCACTCGTGCGCTGTGTCCTTCCTCCTCTCCTCTTTGCTTGTTCGTTGTCTCGCCAAATCGTAAACCCCAATTTGCGCGCACCACACACACTCAAGCAGTCCTTCCAACAAACCACAGTGTCCCGGTGCCCGTGTGCTTCTCTCTCAGCACGTGGAGCCGAACCAACAGCCCCCGCACCCCTCTCAACCCCCGCACCCCTCCGCAATGCCCTCCCAACTCCCTTGGGAAGAGACCATGTTCTCGTCAGCACGGCAGCTCACATGAACAGAGCACACGAGCACGAAGAGCGTCCTCAGGTCCTCAATGTTGCGACGATCGGCATGACGTCTCCACGACTGTCGCCACTGGCCATCCTCCTCCTCCTTCTCGTCTCGCTGATGCTCTGCGGTGACTTGACGCCCAAAGTTGCGGCAACACCGACACTCAGTGACCCGGGCAACATTACATTCAGTCAGTCTTCTCGCGCGCACATGCTTTGCCTGTTGTGCTCTGCCACACGACGCATGACCTGACCTTCCTTTCAAACTCCGCTTTCTTCTCTTCTCTTCTCTTCTCTTCTCTCCTCACACATCCACACACGCACACACACACACGCACACACACGCACACACACGCACGCACACACGCATACACACATGCACACACGCACACATGCACATGCATACACCCTTTCCCTCCTTGTTGCGATTATGTACAAGCCACGGAACGCCTGAGCTTCGCGCTCGAGGACTGGAAGTGCGCCGAGTTGATGCACCGGGATCGGGGCCTCGTGCCGTGCGGGCTCGTCAAGCACCGAGACCACAAGTGGACATACTGGATCGAGGAGGGTGGCTTCTTTGAGTCGTGCGCCTTTGATTATGCCCGGTACTTGCGTCTCGAGCTGCTTGTTGCACCCCCCATCATTGTCAACAACGCCACAATCCAATTTGCGCCACCAACAGCGACGACAACAACAATGACAACAACAACAACTACAACGACAACAACTACAACGACAACAGAACCTGGGGTCACTGATTCCCCCGACGTCACGAACAATAATGGCAACCCCACTCTCAAGACAATCGGCATCCGCATGGACTTTGACGTGTTCGACCCGGAGCTGTGCTGGTCATCCACAAACTGCGACGGCGACGCCCACGTGGTCATTGTCGACAACGACGTCTTCCACAAGCATATTCCACGCGCCCACGCCCTCTGGCTGCCCATGGACAGGCAGGCGTTTCTCAAGGCCACCCTCTACGCCGGCTACCTGGTTCCGGGGGTGCTGTTCCACAGCAAGTTCAAGGCCCCGAACCTCAACAAGACCATTGTCCTCCACGACGTCGACGACGTCAAGTCCGTCTCCATGCTGTTCTTCGACGCTGGTAGCTGTACCATCATCCGGAACATCACCGTCCTCCGCAACATGATGTGCCCTGAGGTCACCAGCCTCTACAACGCCTCCTTTCCCGAGGCGCGCGTGGGCGACGTCATCACTGGCACGTGCCACCCCGGCCTTGCCTCATCCACGCCAGTCATTGCCAACTGCACCTTTGATCGCGGTCTGCAGTTCGTCTCTGGCGCATGCGAGCCTGTCCGTAACGTCACCGAGACCATCGACCTGACCAACAGCACAACAAGCAGCAAGCCGTTCATGTCACGGACAGCGTTCATCGCAACCACTGCCACCCTGAGTGGTGTCGTGTTTCTCACCCTCATTGTCGTCATGGCCATGTGCACTCAGCGGCGCTCGGACTACAGCTGACACCTACCTGCCTGTGTGTCTGCTTGGCTCGTTTGGTTGTACTTGTGTGTGCTTGTGTGTGTGTGCGTGTGCTTGTGTGTGTGCGTTTGTGTTCAGTTGTAGTACAGCAATCGCAACTTTACTGTAACATAACGCAAAGAATGCATCACCATGGTATCTATATCCACAGCGCAAGCAACTCAGGGCCAGTGTCTGCGAAGATGGAAGCGACACAAAGCGGGTTTCATTATAATCTCAGGCACAGGAAGTCATGCACGTACTCATGTACACACACACACATATACATATCACTTGCGCATGTTGTATTGCGCACGAAGCTCTGAATTCTTCCCGCCCATTTGAAAAGATAAAATGCCTCTGATCTTGTTCACAATGTCAGCTGTGTGTGTGTGTGCGTGAATGTGTGAATGAGCGTGAGGGGGAATAACGGGTCCCAGTTGAGATCATGTCACAATACCGCCACACGACACCATTCGGCTTAAACGCCCTCACACACACACACACACACACACACACACACACACACACACACACACACACACACACACACACACACACACACACACACACAAACACACACACACACCTGCTTGTTCGGCGGTCTTTGCCTCGTACATCTGCTCCTTCCAGTCTGGCGGGTGGCGGAAGACGATGTGAAAGCGCGTGGTGCGACGCGCGTCGATATGGCAGTCCACAACTGACTCCATGGGAATCTCAAACTGCAACACCAGCAGCAGCAGCAGCAGCAACAGGAGTGAAAGTATGGGGAGGGCACAGAGGGTTGGTGGTGGGGAGGGGAGCAAGCGCATGTAAGAGCACGTAAGAGCGTGTGGAAAGGAATGCACGCGCAACCAACTGCAAGCATGCGACACAGACCCACAGAGACAGGGACAGACAGACAGACAGGCAGGCAGACGGACAGACCCACACACACCCACACACACCCACACCCACCCACACACACACGCACACAGAAACACAGTCAGAGATCCCCCCAACACACACAGAGAAACACGCGCACGCACCCTTCTGCTCTTGTGCAAGATGGAGCGGGTGGAGTGGAAGGTGGTGACGGTGATGACGTCATCAGCAACACGAAACTCGACCGTCTGGTGCGTGTATTTGCCGTGCTTCGTCACAAAGAAGGTGTGGGCCTGGTTCATGCTGAGCGTGTGTTCGACAGCGCCCATCAGCGCATCCTGCTCTGCATCCTGCGGATGGGCAATATCGCGACGCAGCGCTGGCATGGTGGTGGTGGTGGTGGTGGAGACGATGACGACGATGGTGGTGGTGGTGGTGGGTGGTGAGGGATGCAGGACGAGGACATGTGACGAATAAGGTACTTGAAGTTGCGGCAGAAGGAGGGGGCATGTACACAGTTGGACAAAGATACACAGACGTACACACATACACAAACACAAACACAGACAAGCACACAAACACAGACAAGCACACACACATACACACACGTGCACATACAAACACAACGCAAACACTGACAAGCACACAAACACACAAACAAACACACCCTTCCCCCCCCCCCCAATGGTGTCTCGCAAAGTGCTCACCAAACTTCTTGATGAGGGCAAACTCCACGCGTCCAGGATGCGCTTCCTCCACATCGGCGATTTTCTCCGTCGGATCAAGTGCGACCTGCGGCTGTCCTTTCACCTCCAAAACGTACTCCCCAAACCGAATGCCGCGCTTACGCAATGCTTGCTTGATGACGTCACCGACAGTCAGCCCACGCTTTCGCTGCAGCAGCGTTGAGCTCCCGTCAGGGTAGTGCCTAATGCAATTTGGAAGGGGTGCGGTGATGGGGGGGGGGGAAGGACATGTGTGAGCAAGACGGCCGTTGTGCACATGTTATGTGTGTGTGTGAGTGTGTGTGTGTGTGTGTGTGTGTGTGTGTGTGTGTGTGTGTGTGTGTGTGTGTGAGTACAAGGGCAATGGTATGAGTCAAGAAGGGGTTCTGTGTATTGCTGCCTGCACATACACATAGAAGAAGCCTTTCTTTGTCCGCTGGTCCGCCCCAGACTTGCGCGCAACCTTCCGCTGTACACGTGTGCACGTGAAGTGTGTGTGTGTGTGTGTGTGCGTGTGCGTGCGTGCGTGTGCATGTGCGTGTATGCGCGTGAGCTAACATGACACTCACACGCGCGACGGAAACAATGACACGTTGATTCAGTGTGTGAACAGGAGCAGCAGCAACAGCCTTGCGTGCGTACCCGGCAGAGGCAGAGGGAATCAAAGCCGAGCGTCTTGATGGTGTGGTCCTCGGCGAGTGCTGTCAACACACACACATGTGCACACACACACGAATATGACGGCAATTGATGAGAAGGACGGAAGAAGAAGCAGCAAGACCTCAAGAAGAATGAATGGGTTAGCGGCATGCAGTGCTCACGGTATCAGGCAGACACATACACAGCAACAACACAGAGCGCCATTGCAACGCACCAGGGAGATCGTAGTCTGGCTCGCCGTCAAATTCGCTCAAGCGCAGCTCATAGTCGCCCGGCTCACCCTGGCAGGCAACCAACACGCGACATCCAGTGGGGGGGGGGGCGATGCAAGAGGTGTGGGCACGTAGACGCACATAGAGGAAGGCCATGCACATGCAGGAGAGACAAGAGCACCACCACCACACGACGCATGGATCAGGCACACGACACACACATACACACAAACACACAAACACACAAACACACAAACACACAAACACACACACAAACACAAACACACACACACGCACGCACACATACATGCACACACTGACACACGACACACACACACACACACAAACACACAAACACACAAACACACACACAAACACAAACACGACACCTCGAGCGTGGTGCCGCGGAGGCCGGCCTCCTGGTTGAAGCGGTAGAGGACGAATCCAATCAGATCCGAGACGCACGCGCTGGTGACCACACGCACGTCAAGTGGCAGCGTGCCCTCGTCCAGAAACGGAAACCAGATCTTAAAGTGCTTGATCTTGCGCGGGTCCTGCCCCTCTGCAGAGAACTGCGCATACTGCCGCGCATATGGGTTGTGCACCGTCGTTGGGATGACAAACGGCTTGAACGCGCGGGGTTGCGCTGTTGAGCCGGCGCCACCGTTCGCGCCATTTGCACCAGTATGGCGCCCGTTTGCGGCGGCCTGCGTGTGTGGCTGTTCTTCCTGGTGCAGCGGTGCGGTTGTGCCCGATGCGCCGCCGCGCTGCCGACTGCCGGCAACGGGGAGCGGGATGGGCCCCATTCCAATGTCGATGATGCTGGCGGGGAAGCCATCCATGACGGTGGCGGGCGTGATGGGCGTCACGGACGACTCGTTGTCGCGGTCGCTCGTGTTCGTGGCAGGCAGATCCTCCTCAGCATCCGCCACGCTGCAGCAGATGCGTGTGAACGAACGCGTGATTGTGTTGCAATGAGGAGGGCTAAGAGTGAGTCAAACGAACGATGACAACAACGAAAAGGAGAAGAAACACAAGCACGAGTCGTGACATGCACACACACACACAATCTGCACGTGCGTGAGTGGTGAAGCTTGCGTGCACACGGGTTCTTGAGTGTGTGTATGTGTATTCATGTCGTCTAAGGTAGGTATTTGCGTGAGTCAAGATGCGACTGCAGCCGTGAGCACACAACAGCAGGGACAACAAAGCATGCTCACTTGTGGGATGGCAGAAGCTTGGCCACCGATGTAGCGAGCGGCTTTGGCGCCGTGGGTGTGATGTCGTAGGATTCAACGCTTGCTTTGAAGTCATCTCGCACATGTGCACTGGTCGGAGGCAGTGAAAGGTGAAGTAGAGTGGTTGTATTAGATGAGCTGATGGCATGGCCACCATGGGCGCAACACAGACGCACACGCGAGCAAGTACACGGAACAACAAGACAACGAGAGCACACCAGCACAACACACAAACACACACACGCACACAACACACACACACACGCACACGCGCGAATACACAACACACACATGCACGCACACACAATCCCTTGTGCAGAACAACCTCTTTCCTCCTTCTCCCGCATGCACTACCTGTCGCCCTTGACAGAGCCGCGGAGCACGGCACGGCATGTGCCGCTGTCATCGGTGTCCTTGAACACTTGATGCAGCATGGCAAGCAGGTCGCCACCTCGATCAAGCCCTGCCATCGTCCTCGTCGTTCTTCTCGTTCTGGTTGTTGCCAGTTGGGAAAATTTGCAAATGTGACGGCCAATTGTCCGGACGGCTCGGGTGTGTGTGTGTGTGTGTGTGTGTGTGTGTGTGTGTGTGTGTGTGTGTGTATGTGTGTGTATGTGTGTGTGTGTGTGTGTGTGTGTGTGTGTGTGTGTGTGTGTGTGTGTGTGTGTGTGTGTGTGTGTGTGTGTGTGTGTGTGTGTGTGTGTGTGTGTGTGTGTGTGTGTGGGTGTTTGGTTCCACCACGCGTGCATCCATCTACCTACACTTGAGAGGTTCCCTGCGTTTAGTTGACATGGCACAACACGAGCACAGAGCAACACTTTCAGAGCAGCAGCAGATACATGAGCGACAATGACACACGCACACAGACACACAAAGATGTACAGATACGCAGACGCACAGATACAGATAAACAGACACACACACACACACACACACAATGATACGCAGACATACGACCGCACACAAGACACACACAGCCTATCAGAAAACGAGAGTCAGGAGCATAGAGAGCACCACGAGTGTACGCCAGTGGCACGTGAGCACAAAGGGTCACTCGGATGCTGCCGACGATGTGCCAGCCTGCGCCTGTGTCTTGCTGCTGCTGCTGCTGCTGTTGTTGTTGGTCTTGTTGAGGAGGTGCATGGGGTAGGTTGTGTATGTGCGCGGGTTGATGCCCTTCTTCTCGAGAGCCGCCACCATCTGCGCCTTGATGTCCTCACCGAGCTGTGATTCCAAGTTCTGCACAACCCCGCCAGCCAGTGAAATGGACAAAAAGGGATGGGGAGAGGAAACAGGACACGTGTTGTGTGAGCATGTGTTGTGTGTGGACGTGTCATGCCAGCGTGTGTTTGTTTTGAGCGTGTGTTGAGTGAGGGAGAGGCAATGGGCTTTGCGTGTCGAGTTGGAATTGGCGAGCAGCCCACAACATCCAAACAGATGCATGAACACAAAGGCACATGCAAGAGAACGAATACGATACTGGAACACACGCATGCAAAGGCACACACGCAAGCATACACACAAGCAATCATGCATACACACGCAGAGAATGCGACCTTGCTCCTCCATCTCCCTATCTCCCCTGTCGCACCTTTGCTTTGAGAATGTAGTTGTCAAAGCTGCCTGCCTTGTCAATGCAGCGCAGCACGCGCGTGGTCATCTTCACCTTGATCTTCTTCTCCAGGATGTGGCTGTACACGTTCTTGCTGATGACATTCGGCTCCCATCGCCTCGGGCTCCTGTTCATTTGTTGTGTTTGTAGCACGCAAGGTATGAAGAAGGAGGGGGGGGGGTGTGAGCGGCATGGACACAGGCACGCCAGCGAGCAAGAGCACGGGAGAAAGTGCACACAACAGCATCAAACAAACCACACACGACACAAAACACGACGCACTTGATGGGGCTCTTCTTGTCGTCGGAAGACTTGACGCCAAAGATGATCTTCTTACCACCCCACAGCTGCCGCTGTGAGCGCCCACACACGTGTCTCAACTGCGCCAATCGCACACCAAACATTCTGACACTCTGCGTCTGCGTCTGTGTGTGTGTGTGTGTGTGTGTGTGTGTGTGTGTGTGTGTGTGTGTGTGTGTGTGTGTGTGTGTGTGTGTGTGTGTGTGTGTGTGTGTGTGTGTGTGTGTGTCAGCGTGGTTCAGGAGGTGAAGTTTGGAAAAATGGCAATGATACTGGCCAATTTTCAGCCGAACCAACGACAAGCAACAACCAAACAAAACCCCCACACACACCACCCCACTGCAGCCACCATCCGTCTATCATCACCGTCAGCATCATGAGCTCAGAAGGCGGTGGCGGCGGGCATGGTAGCGGAGCTGTGTCCAACTCGCTGACGCGCAAGCTCAACAAGATCCTCACCAGCCACGACACTTTGTTCACGTCATCCCACGCCGTGAGTGCATGTGCTTGTGTGTGTTTGTGTTCATGCACCTTCGTGCATGTCGTCACACCTCCAACGTCACATTTTATGCTGTGCATTGTTTGCGTTTGACACGCAGGGCATCGTTGCGGCGTTGCATGGGCTGTCGGACGTGTTTGAAGCCGGAAACAAGCGAAACGACAAGCAAGAGCGGCAGAGGTTACGCAGCGACATTGAGCGCAACTCAATCGAAGTCAATCGCCGTTTCCTCGACGCGTTCCAGGAAGTACAACAGGTCAGTGGCGCTGATCCAGTGACACTGGCGGCGCACTAAGCACTGCGTGCCGAGTACTCGCGTAGTTCACACCATGTGCACTACCCCAAATGCTCTCTCTCTCTCTCACACACACACACACTCACACGTGCACACACACACATGCACACGTGTCAGTTCACCTCGCTCAACACAACACGCCTTGTCGTCCTGCACATCCTTTGCACGTGTACATCCATCACTGTGTCATTCCCGCTGACCATGCCTCCACCCACCCACTCCCTTTTTGCGTCAACACCTTTGGTGTCTCATCAGAAACTGGAGACAGTGGAAGGCAAGGTGCACGCCATGCGAGACTGCTGCCACGACATGACCGCGCGACTGCACAAGGCGCAGAACGAGACCGCAGAGCTGATCAAGAAGACGTCGGCGCTGAGACAGGACAAGGAGAAGCTGCAGGTGCGACGCGCGGTGCTGTCGCTGTTTCTGGACCGCTACCAGCTGCGGCCAGAGGAGCAGGAGGCGCTATCTGGCGGGCGGCCGCTCGACGCGTCGTTCTTCAGGGCATTTGAGCGGGTGAAGGCAATACACGCGGAGTGCACGCGGCTGCTGCGGACGAACCAGCAGCGTGCGGGCCTGGACATCATGGACGAGATGACCGCACTGCAGGAGAAGGGCTACGAGCGCCTCTACGCGTGGACACAAGGTGTGCATGCGTGTGTGCGTGTGTGCGATGTCGGGTCGTGTGAGAGGAGGTGAAGGGGACGGGGTGTAGATACGCGTGTGCACACGCTTGGGAGTAGTCTAGCGAGAGAAACACATGTTGTGCAGCTGAACAGTTGATGTGTGTGTGTGTGCGTGTGTGCGTGAGGATTTATACGTACATGCGTGTGTGTGCGTGTGTGCATGCTGCAAGCTGTTGCTCTCTGTTTCCAGTTTACTGCAACCCATCCGTCTCACCATGACATCATGCGACCACCCCATACAGCTGCGTGCCGCGGGCTGACGACACAGACGGTGGACCGGACACAGCTGCTCAACCGTGCGTTCAAGGCGCTCAGAGAACGAGAAGTCCTCTACAAGTCAGTCAGATGGTGGTGGTGGCGGTGGTGGTGGTGGGGATTACGTGTTGCTGGTTTGTGGTGTGCTGTTGATACAGCGTTGATCTTAGCTTTGAAGCTCCAACACACACATTCACATTCACATACACACATTCACATTCACATACACACAAACACACGTGTTCATCTCAGGTACTCTGTGAACGAGTACACGACGACGCGTCGACAGGCGGTGGCGCGGGGATTCGTTGATGCGCTGACACGCGGAGGACCAAACGGAACACCAAAGCCGCTTGACCTCGACTCACACGACCCCATTCTCTACGTCAGGTGGGCACGATGTGGTGGTGGTGGTGGTGGTGGTGGTGGTGGTGGCGAATGGCTGCTGTTGTGATGATGTACGTTCACCCGTGCACAGAAGCACACACACACACACACACACACAACACACACACACACACAAACACAATGCACAAGCGCATATTGACCATGACATGTGAATACGTGTGTGTGTGTGTATGCGTATGTGTATGTGTATGTGTATGTGTGTGTGTATGCGTGTGTGTGTGTGTGTGTGTGCAGCGGGATGCTCGGGTGGCTGCATCAGGCGATGGCGTCCGAGCGCGATCTCATTGTCCGCGTCATCTTTTCGTCGTCCGACGTGAGCACCACGCTGCTGTGTGCATGGTGGTGGTGATGGTGGTGGTGGTGTGGTTGTGGTGGTGATGGTGGTGGTGGTGATGGTTGTGGGTGGTGGTGGTGGTGGTGGTGGTGGTGGTGGTCGCGGAACAAATGGAGAGGAGAGCGCCGGGAGTCCATGTCACGCCCATGCATTTCGCGCAAACACACACACACACACACACTCGCATTCACACGCACACACACACAACCGTGTCAACATCGCCACCGCTTCACATGTGCGTTTATGTGTTCAGGATCGCCAGCGCGCGTCGTCGTCGTCGTCAACAGCGGCGTCAACAACGTGAGGAGGGATGGGATGGATGGAAGGGTCGCGTCGATGTTGAACATGCTGTGAAGGGATGCGCTGGTCTTCCTGCGTCTCCATGTACTCGTGCGCTCACACGTTTGCCTGCATGCACGCTTGTGCTCGCGTGTGTAGGGAGGAGAGTGTGACGTCACTGATGGACGAAATCATGGAGGGCGTGTGCAGACCGCTCAGGGTGAGACGGTGCTGGTGGCGATATGACGATTGTGTGCTCGCATGACTTTGGTTCACCTGTGATTCGATGCCTGCTCAATCTGTTCTCACACGGCCCATCATCACTCACTCACACACGACACCACGACCACCACCACCACGACGACGACCACCACCGCCACCACGACCATCACCACGACCATCACCACCACCACGACCACCACCACCACGACCATCACTAAAGACGCGGTGGGAGCAAGTGACGTCGTCCCACCCGCCGCTCGTCGCCTGCTACCGCATTGCCTCCACCCTCCTCCTCTACCACTCCTTCACCCGCGATATCGTCGGCGAACAGTCACAGCTCGCCACCCTGCTCCAGGAACTCCACGCCCTCACCATGGACGTGCGTTGCCGTGCGAGGGCGAGGGGGGGGGGGGGCGGAGCGAGAGGAGTTTTTGTTGGATGGCGGCTGTGTTCGGTTGTGTGTGGTTGTGTGTGGTTGTGTGTGGTTGTGTGTGGTTGTGTTTGCGTGATGCAAATGTGTGTGTGTGCGTGTTTGCGAGTGAAATCGTATCTGTGGCTTCCTCTGCGTGGACGTGTGTGGCGGGATGTGTTGTTGTGCTGACACAATACAACGACGACGGCCACCACCACCACCACCACCACCACCATTGTCAGGTGTTCTTCAAGTCGCTGGACCGCTTTGCTGACGACCTCAAACAGAACATCGAAATCCCACCGGTAATGTGAACCGCTCCCCGCTGTTGCTGCTGTTGCCTGTCATGCGTGTGCATGTGTGTGTGTGTGTGTGTGTGCGTGCGTGTGTGTGTGTGCATGTGTGCATGTGTGTGTGTGCATGTGTGCGTGTGTGCGTGTGTGTGTGTATGTATGTTTGTGTGTGTGCGTGTGTGTGTTCCTGCATCATGCGTGGAATTCGACCTCCATCGCTCCAGTCGGCGTCTTTCGTGTTGCATCGACCGTGCCACATCACCGTTCATGTTCTTCCCGTCTGTTTCTTTTTTTTTTTTTTCAGGCCGATCTGTATCCGCCAACAACCGTCGATCGAACGCTCGGTGTGCACCACTTCCACGTCGCACACGCACACACATGCACACACACAAACACGCACACACACAAACACGCACACACACAAACACAAACACACACACACATATACACACACACATACACCATGCAACAGTTGGCTTCCTCAAACAAACACACGCTTGTTTGGTGCCTGCAGGCATGCTACAGGAAATCCTCGAAGCCAAAGCGACAACGGCTGTGGACGCGCCAACAACTACAGATGATACAAATAGGGTATACACCACCACAACAAGTCCTCCCCCTCACACACAAACACACACTCCCTCACTCACTGACTCACACACTGTGTCCGTCAATTGTTCCTGTGTACCTGGCACATCACCCCCGTCCCCCCACGCACACATCACTCCATCGCCTGCCACGTGTGCATGTGTGCATGTGTGTGCATGTGTGTGTGTTTGCAGATATTGCGAGGGATGGTTGATCCGCTGCTGCAGAGCTGTCTCCTCAGCGCCGCCAACCTCGGGCCAGCAGACATGGTGCGGCCATGATGGTGATGATGATGATGATGATGATGATGATGATGATGATGATGATGATGATGATGATGATGATGATGATGATGATGATGATGATGATGATGATGAGGAGGAGGAGGAGGAGGAGGAGGAGGATGATGATGATGATGATGATGATGATGGTTGTGGTGAAGTGGTGGTGGTGTCTTTGTTGTCTGGAGTCTTCTTACGCAACGATACGCAACGAGCACATAACACAATCACCTCTCTCACACCTTGCCCTCCCTTCTCCTGGCTTCCACGACATCACGAAACATTCACTCTCACACGGTGTGCAGGCCGCGTTTATGATCAACTGCATTTACCGCATGCGCTCGCTCCTCGACACATTCGACGACACAGGTGCACGACCGTGCCCCTTCCCAGACGTTGCCCATTCGTGTGTGTGTGTGTGTGTGTGTGTGTGTGTGTGTGTGTGTGTGTGTGTGTGTGTGTGTGTGTGTGTGTGTGTGTGTGTGTGTGTGTGTGTGCGTGTGCCGTGTGTGCAGACAAGAGAGCGTGAATCCATACGTACGTTTGCAGTTGCGTGTTGGCATGCTGTTATGTCGTACCACGTGTTCCGCCTCTCATTGCTACCATCATCACCATCACCATCACCATCGCCACGATCATCTACGCTTGCTGTACAGACGAGCGCGCGGAAATGCTGAACGCGCAAGTCGAAGCATACGTCGACACGGTGGGAGCTGGTGGTGATTGCTGTGATTGTGGCGGCTGTGTTGTCCCTTTCAACAACTGGCTTTCATGTTTGCCGTATCGTGTCAGTCGTGGCTTGCGATCATTCATGGCTTTAATTCACTGCGACTGATGATGCTGTTCTTGTCTGCTCGCTCACGTCCATGTACCCATGTATGATGTGTGAATGTATGTATGTGTGTGCTGTGCAGTTGGTGAACGAGCAGGCGCACTTCATGACGGAGGCCAGCGGGCTCAAGGGCGTTCTGCACGCCTTCCAGCAGTGGCAGGTGCGTGTGTGTGTGTGTGCGTGTGCGTGTGCGTGTGTGTGTGTGTGTGTACGTGTGCGTGTGCGCGCGTTCGCACAGTGGTGATGGCGTGTATGAACTTGCACTCATGCCTGGTCCCTCTGCCTCTGTTTGCGCGCACGTTGGTCACATGACCTTTTACATCCCCTTGACACTCCGCTGCTCACTGGTGGTCATGGTGTTCACACGCATCGCCAGCATCGCGGTGGCGAGGGCGCAATGGCAGCGCAGCCAGGACTGGACGTGCAGGTGAGCACCAATCAATCAATCACACACACGAACACACCCACACACAGCATTGAGCAAATCAACGCTCGAGACCTCCTGAGACAGCCGCTGTCCTTCACACCGTTGCACACACACACACACACACACACACACACACACACACACAACACACACACACATATACACAATGCATGTTGCGCAGACGACGACGGGGGCGCTGCGGGCGTTTGATGGGTACTTGGCGAACGCAAGCTTTGGCATGATCCGCCAATGCGATCTTCTTCACAGGTGCGCCTGCGGTGGTGGTGGTGGTGATGGTGCTGGTGGTGGTGGTGGTGGTGGTGGTGGCACACAGCTGTGCGCTTTGGGAAGAGAAGGACAGGTTCACTCTCGTGTGTGTGTGTGTGTGTGTGTGTGTGTGTGTGTGCATGCGTGCGTGTGTGCGCGTGTATACTGATCCCTCTCAGATACACACGGCGCTCACGTTCACTCACACACACGACGCTCTCATACACCCCCCCCCACACACACACACGCACACGACGCTCTCATACACACACACGACGCTCTCATACACACACACGACGCTCTCATACACACACACGCATACAGCGGTGCTGTGCGCGATCGGATCCGGCAGCTGGCCAACACCATCTTCTGCAATACTGTCGAGGAGTTCCGGGACGCGTGTGTTGCGCCGACCAGCGACTATCCCCCAGGCCTCGTCCACTTTGACCGCCAAACCCTCGAGGCCCTCCTGTGATGTTTGCACGCGGTGTGCTTGTCGCATATGCTGCGTCTGTTACATGAGGTACATGCGCTTGGCTTTGCACTAACATTACACAGTCAGCTACCATTTGTGTCACCTGCGCCGTCACACTGCGCGTTGGCAGGGTGAAGGTGGAGGGGGGAGGGACAGAGAGATACGCACACACAAGAACACCGCGTCGTGGACGACGAGAACAAACAACAGCAAACGCACGACGACGGTCGGTCGGCACAGCACCTCAAACGTGACACACGCGACACCACAAAAAGTTATTTTCATTGCGACACGACAGACAGAAAGAGAGATGAGCGGCGCGAACAAGGACGCAGGTGGTGGTGGAGATGAGCCACACCACGTGGACCTGGAGCCAATCGTGCCAGCGATCCAAGATGCAATTGCACAGGTCAAAGAGCTGCAGCAGGATTATGACGCAGGCAAACTTGAGGCATACAATGGCGTGTCCTTCTTGGAGGTGTGTGTGTGTGTGGCACCCGTTGTGCTGGCTTGAGTTTGGGCTGAGCTTTGGGTTGAAGAAGGGAGTGCAGCATGTTGTGGGGGTAGCAATTGTCGTCGTCTGCAGCGTGTTGCCCTCCTCACAAAACTGCGTGCGCACACACCCTCTCGATCTTTCATTTCTCAATCACACACACACACACACACACTCTCTGTCTCTCTGTCTCTCTCTCTGTCTCCCCATCTCTCATTGTTTGTCACTCTCTGTCACACACACACGCACACACACATACACACACGCACGCACAATAGTTGAAAAACCAGGTGCTGCTGGACTACATTGCAAACTTGACGCTGCTGCTCAACTTGAAGCTGAGAGGGAAATCCATCGTCGGCCATGACGTCGTCGGTGAGGCACCATATGGCTCAGCACAGAACCCTGAGCACAAATGAGTGTACTCACACACATGCACACACGCGTGCACATGTCTCGGCTTCCGTGACTCGCACGTGTCTGACCTCAGCGCTGCTCCCTGTATTTCCCATATCACCTGTTGCATCGCACTGCAGACCGCCTGGTGATGCTGCGGGTTGTCATGGAGAAGATCAAACCACTTGACAAGAAGCTCAAGTATCAAATTGACAAGATTGTGAAGCTTGCATCCAGCTCCGACAAGCAGACAGACGAGGACGACGAAATGCAGTTCAAACCAAACCCCACAAACCTCAGGCCAAAGGTCCGCGCGTGTGAGCGTGTATATGTATGTATGTGTGTGTGTGTGTGTGTGCCTGTGTGTGGGTGCCTGTGTGTGGGTGCATATATATGTGTGTGTGTGTGCATGGGTGCATATGTGTGTGTGTGTGCATACGTGGATGCATATATGTGTTGCATGTGCGTGCATGGAGCTTCACTCCCCCCCCCGGGCGTGTTGCCATCTTGCACTCCAGCAGCTGTGTTTCTTTACCATGCGTCCTCAACCCCCTTCCCTTTCAATTGGCCTCGTGTTTATCCAGGAGGGAACTGCAGAGGCATCGGCTGCAGCAGACGCTCGTGCATCCTCATCGTCAGCAGCAGCAGCAACAACAACAGATGCAGCCAGTGGCGTGTACCAGCCGCCAAAGATTGCTGCCATGCCATACACAGCCGACGACCCCGCAGCCATTCGCGAGGAGAAGCGACGAGAGAGAGTCAGTCGCTCATGTGCTGTGCTCTGTGTGTGTGTGTGTGTGTGTGTGTGTGTGTGTGCGTGTGTGTGTGTGTGTGTGTGATGAACACGTTTTCTTGCTTGTGATTCACACGAATTCCGCAGATTTAGTCTTTGCGTCACACATCTCGAACACGCTCACTCACCCTTGACCACGTGTCCACCACCGTCTCTCCGCTGTGCCCTCCTCCCACCAGGAGCGGCAGCGCATGCTTCACAGCCAGATGATGCAGGACCTGCGGGACCAAATGTCCGATAGGCCGCAGCAGATTCGCGAGTACGAGGCAGCACAGATTGCGCATCTCCAGGGTCAGTCGGGTGGTGGTGGTGGTGGTGGTGGATGTGATGATGGTGGGGGGGGGGAGTGGAATGGAGGGTGACACCAAGGATGAAGGATGGATGCGAGCCTGGGAGAGCGGCGTGCGAGTTAGCTTTGCATGCCTGTGCATCATCGGTTATGATGGCAACATCGTTGACACACACACACACACATGCACACACACACACACACACACACACACACACATGCGCACGTGATTGCAGGCGGGCGCCAATCGAAGAAGGAGCGCCAAATTCAGGAATACGAAGAAGACAACTTCCTTCGCCTCAACGTCGGCAAGAAGGTATGCGCGTGCGCGATAGTATGTTACTATGTGGATGTTTACGCATGCCTGTCCACGTTTGTGCGTGTGCACGTGTGCGTGTGTGTGTGTGTGAACACTTGTGTGAGCGTGTGTGTGTGTGAACACTTGTGTGTGTGCACTGGCTGGCATGAGGCTGTGCGTGAGTGAAGCCCTTGACTCACAGCAACCACACGTGCAACGCCCGTGTTCCTGCTCGCCTCTTCATCTGCGCAGCAAAAGAAGCGATCAAACCCGCGCAATTCGCTGCACGACATCGCAGACTTCCGCGGATTCAAAGGTGCGCAATCATTGCGATGATGATGGTGGTGGTGTTTGTGATGGTGATGGTGTTGGTGGTGGGAATTGTTGTTAGCTAAAGTGGGTGGTGTTGTGCTTCCACGACAGAGTGTCAGTCGTACACACACACACACACACACACACACACATACATACATACATACACACACACACACACATGCACACACGCACGCACATGCACATGCGTACGCTCACGCATTTGTCTGCTGCTGCTGCTTGACGCAATTGCGCGGCCACACCAGGTTTCAACGATGCCATGAAGGGCTTTGTGACGGACGTGAAGCGGAAATCCGTGAGAGAGAAGATGATGGAGGCGCAAAAGGTACAAGGCGTGCAATGCAACGCGATTGATGCATTCTGCTGCTGGGGGCTCTTGTCTGCTATTGGTTCTCCCCACCACAAGAATGACAACAGCAGCAACCGCAACAAAACACACCTCGCTCGCTCACTCACGCACCTTGCACACACGCACACACACGCTCACTCACCTTGCACACACACACGCTTCACCCTACACCCACACACACCCACACCCACACCCACTCACACCCTTTTTCTCTTCAGACAAAGCGGGCGAAAACCCATGGAAGGGCCAAGTAGAAGTAAACGGAAACTTGTGTGACAGATATCGTTTATTGCTGATCTTCCATTGCAAAAGAGAGAGAGAGAGTGTGTGTGTGTGTGCGCGCGCGCGCGTGCGTGCGTGCGTGCGTGTGTGTGTGTGTGTGTGTGTGTGTGTGTGTGTGTGTGTGTGTGTGTGTGTGAACGCGACTGTGCAGTCATGCGTAGAGAAGAAGCGAGGAGGGACGAAGCTGTGTGCTGCACGTATGAAAACTGCGGAAATGTACACGCTGTATCACAACAACACAGCAGATGGTGGTCAGTGTGGGGGGGGGCAATACTCACGCAACACGTCTGCATCAGGAGTGGATTGCGACACACAGCATGCCGCCGCGTTTGTCTGTGCTTGCGTCGTTGTATGCGTATCTGTTGTCGCTCAGCCACTGCTGAACAGCCGGCATCAGACGCGCCTGGCGGGGAAAGGGCGGTGGAATGACATGGAATGATGGCGGGAAAGGTGAGATGCATTGGTGACGGATGCGAAACGAGAAGAAGATGACAGATGCACAAGGACAAACAATCGAACAAGCAAACGTACAACCCAACAGAAGCAGAAGCACGCATGCACGCACGCAATGGGCACGTGCGTACCGCTGCTGGGTTGTGGAGGTGCTTGTGTTTGCTGTGATGACCAGTGCCCGTGATGATGAAGGCGACGTCGTGCTGCTGCGAGCGCTTCAACCTCTCAAGGAACACGGCTGCGCGCCATGGCAAACGCAGGGGGTTGAGGGGGAGAAGATCAGGGGGGCGTGCATGATACAGACACACAAGCAAACCAAACAAACAAAACAGATAAACAAACACAGACAAGCAAACGGACAAACAAACAGACAAACAAACCACAAACAAACAGACCAACAGGCAAGCAAACCAAACAAACACAAACCAAACCAAACCAAGGCAACAGGCCCAGTGCGCGTACCGAGGTACTCGAGGGCCTCCCTGATGTGGAGGCCGTGCAGATCAAGCATGTTTTCCTCCGGCAACACTTTGTTGCGCCGTGAGAACAGCTCTTCCGCAGCACGACGGTGCGCTGCACGCATTTTCTGCATGGAGCGGTGGTGTGTGTGTGTGTGTGTGTGTGTGTGTGTGTGTGTGTGTGTGTGTGTGTGTGTGTGTGTGTGTGTGTGTGTGTGTGTGTGTGTGTGTGTGTGTGTGGAAATGAGACGAACGTGACGCAATGCAGTCACACGTACAGGGTGCACGGTCGTGCCATCCATGAACATGCACACAGGGACACAAGACATGGTCTCGTAGGTCGTTGTTGGCTGCACCTCATCGTACTCCCGTCCCACGCGCGACAGCCGCTTTGCATCAGCGGGATGGTTAGACAGGTACGCCTGAACACATGCCCATGCATAGGTGAGCGACCCAACGCACACATACACACACGCACACACACACACATGTACACACACACACACACATACACACACACATGTACACACACACATACACACACACACATGTACACACACACATACACACACACACACGCACGCACACACACACACAACGGACCTGTGTTGCCTGGTGCAGGAATTTGTTTCTGAGCTGCGCAAACTCAATGGCTTCTGCGCGGAGATCGAGATACGTCTGGCCAACCTGTGGACACACACAAAGCCAGGAGTCACACACATGTGCACACAGGCGTGTGAGGAAATACATTCCACACCCAAGCACTCACACCTACGACAGCACGCAAGTTCAATCCACCTACTATTCACACACACATACACACACACGCACACGCACGAGTGCACGGACCTCGGAGCCGGTTGTCACCCAGTGCTTCGGAGGACGCACAGATGCACCTGAACAGCAGATATGACAAGTGACAGCGCAGACGTGATGTGTATGTGTACATGTGTGTGTTTGTGTGAGCAAATTCTTATGTCATGCCGGCAATGTGGCGATGCGAGATCAACGCACACACACACACACACACACACACACACACACACAAATGCGACCCGAAAGGGGTCATTGCCAGACCTTTTCTCGGCGGTTTCGATCCTTTGGCGGTCTTGGCAACACTTGACCTGAGGATGCAAACAAAAGCACGTGAGAGGCATGGACAAACAACAACAACACACCTTGTTTCCGCACACAACACACACAGAGATGTGTACGTGACCGCCCCCCTCGCCAACACACACACACACAGACACAGACACACACACACACACAAGCTGACTGACTTTGGCTTGTGTGGTGCGCCGTACGTCTTGCTGAGCGCAGCGATGGTCTGTTTCAAATCAAACGCGTGCTCCTTGAAGGTCTTGAAGAGCCTGTCCTCCCAAACGTGCGGATACGTGGACACAAGCTCCCGCCATGCAATGTGCTTGGCAGCATCCCACGCCACGCCCTCAAACAGCGCATTCCGTTCTGCTTCGGAGACGACAGCAATGTCTGGCAGCGGTGCTGTTGCGGATGTGCGGTGGTCACTGCGCCACACCCCGCCAGCGCGCGCCTGCTGGCCGCCCCACACGCTCCCAGCACCGCCACTTCCAACACCAGGTTTGCTTGATGATGGCGCTGCCTTTGCTGCTGATGATGACGACGATGAGGAGGGTGGTGTTGGTGGTGCTGCAATGGTCACTGTCATCGCCTTTCCTTTGTTCTTCGCTTTGTTCTTGCCTTTCTTCTTCTTCTTGCCTTTGCCTTGTGCCTTGACAGGTATCTGCAGCAGCAGCTTGTCGTCCTCACCCTGCACACGGGCACCACCAGCATCATCATCGCCACGAGCATCGTCACCATTGTCGTCGTCCTGCTTGCCCCCGCGTGCTCCCACGCCGGCAGAAAGGGATGGAAATTCCGCCATCGATTGCGTAAAGGCGGGCGTGTCGTCCTCCCGCCCAAGTTCACGTGCAATGGCAGCGGGGCCCTGGCGCAACAGGCGGCGGATGTGGGGGAGATGGTTTTGCATGCAGACACTGATATGATCGTGCTGGTAGGGGCATGCGTCATCCTTGATGCACCACCCGTTCTGGAAGAAGCGGCAAGGAACGGTCTTCAGGTCATGCGAGTAGAAGCAGTCTGAAACGCATTTGTGGTGGTTTGTGGGGGGGGGGGTGCAGCACGATGACGGGTGAGCTGAGGAGAGGCACGTGTGGGGCGCTCATGGAGTCACATTGATGCGGTGAACAAAAAGACAAAGGAGAAGAAGAAGCGCACAACGCAACAATACGCACAATGAAACACAGACACACACACACACACACACACAGACAAACACACACAAAGCAACCATAAGCACACACATACACACACACACAAGCGCAACCACAAACGAACACACACAAAAGCAACCACAAGCAAACACACACACGCGCGCGCACTCGTGCAATTCTCTTGCTCCCCGCAAACAGCATCGCACCTGCCCGCCTGCATCCGCCCTTGATGAAGAACTTGCACGGGCCCGGGCCAGCAGTGTCGTCACCGTGGCCAATCAGCGTCTTCAGCACAGGCATCAGCTCAGTGTTGTTGAGCTGTAGCATTCGATACGCCGTGTCGCTGTCCTGTCCCGCCAACGCCTCGAGCACATCCAGCACCACCACTGGCAGCGCAAACACACCACCACCACCACCACCACCACTGCTGCTGCTACTGCCATCACCATCATCACCATCAGCACCACCAGCGCTATGCATGGTGGTGGGGTGGGTTGCTGGCGGTGTTGTCGTTGCCATGGAACCTGTGGCCATCGGCGGTGCTGCTGCTGTTGTCGCCATCATTGGCAGTAGCGGTGCAGGGGACGAGGGGGTGTAGGGGGCGGCGCTGGTTGCAGACTGCATGCGCGCTGCACTGCTCAGCGCTGGCATGCCGCTCTCGCCAATACCGTCGGGCGGTGACGACGACAGCTCGAACACTGGGAGCTGCTGCTGCTGCTGCAAGGTGACCTCAAGTTGGCCGTCACCATCATCGTCAAAGACATCATCAGCGCCAGTGGGCATGCTATTGTTGTCGTCGTCGTCGTGTCCGTCGTCGAGAAAGTCGAGCATGCGTGACGTGCGCGCCTCCAAATCACGCAACACCTCCTCGTCATCAGCATCGCCATTGTGATGATGGTGGTGGCCCGTGTAGCTGTGCATTGATGCCGAGGCTTGCAGTGGGGACGACATCACATCTGCCAGTGGCGCGGATGAGTCGACAGCCCCGTACCCGAGCAGCCCAACGCCAACGCCAACGCCAACGCCAACGCCAACGCCAACGCCAACGCCAACGCCAACGCCACGCTGCCCCTGCCCCTGCTGATGTGGCTGATGTGGCTGATGGGGTGGGTTGTGCTGCCGCTTGTGCGATTCAAAGGGATCGTGGATCTCAGCACCAGCGGCATGAGGGACTGCGGCATTCTTGTCTGCATTGAACTGCAGCAGCAACGGCGACGCATGCTCAAGCCCGTTGCCAAACGCGCTGCCGTTGGTGGCGCCGTGTGCACCACCAAGGACGTGAGGTGACGCGGTAGACGTGGGGTTGGTCGCTGCGGCCGTGGACGGCGTGTAAGGGAGGGCACCGTCGTTGAGCGTGAAGCTGCTGCTGTTCTGCACATCGCGGTCAAAGCTGTCGTGTCGGAAGAGGGAGTCAAGCGAGATGAGCAGGTGCAGTGCAGGCGTCGATGCAACAGTACTGTCGCCACCACCTCCGTCGCTTCTTCTTCTTCTGCTGCTGCTGCTGATGTCATTGCTGATGCCATTGCCAACGTGCATGCTGCTCGCACCGAACACGCTTGCATTGACATTCGCATTGTTGCTGGCATTGGTGTCACCAACATTGTCACCGGTGTAGCCGTCAGCATGCGGCACAACAGCGGAGAGATCAGGGAGCGACTGCAGGGGTGCAAGCGTGCCAGTACTGCCAGTTGGGTTCATTGCGGTGGTGGTCATTGCGGTGGTGGTCATTGTGGTGGTGGTGGTGTCACCTATTTGGAAAGGAGGCAGGTATGCGGGCGCATGTGCCGTGTCCACACCCGTTTGTTGTTGTTGTTGTTGTTGTTGTTGTTGTTGTTGTTGCTGTTGTTGTTGTTGTTGTTGTTGTTGTTGTTGTTGTTGTTGTTGTTGTTGTTGTTGTGTGAAAGGAACATAAGGCACTGCCGATGATGACAAGGGCGCAATTGAGAGCGCTGGCAGTTCGGGGATGGTCGCCACCACACCGCCGCCAGTGTCCGTGTCCGTGTCTGTGAAGCTTGTTGTCATGCTGCTGCGGCTGCTCGTGCCACGGCCAACACTGCTGGCACTGCTTGTCGAAGCGCTCGATGTCTTTGTTGACGGCGGTGCTGATGACGACGACGCTGCTGTTCCTGCTTTGCTCTTCGCGCGCCCCTTTGCTTTTGTGCGTGTGATGCGAAGCTGCGGTTTCTTGTTGCTCTCCTCCTCCCCACTGCACGATGACTTCTTGTTCAGAATGGTGCTTGCAAGCGTCCCCTTTTCGTTCTGAAACCACGCGTTGCCGCCACCCGCCGGCCTTGATGACGTGCTAGCGGTGCTGGTGTTCTTTCCCTTCCCTCCCTTGGCCCATTTGTTACCAGCGTTGCTGCTGCCGGTGTTCGTGTTGCTGTTGCTGCTGGCGACATTCGTGGCGCTGCGCGTCTGCACTGGCCGCGGGCGTGCCCAGTTGCCACCAGTGCCCCTTACGGCACCGCTCTTTGCTGTCAATGTCGCTGACGACGGCGATGACGACGACGATGGTGGTGGTGGCGCCCACACGCTCCTTGCTGGCACCTTCTCCGCCACAAAGCGTGCACGGCTGCCGCTTCCGTTCACCTTGATGACCTTCCGGCTGGGCTTGGGCTTGGCGGGCTTGTGGTAGTCGTCGAGGATGGCGGTTGCAAGGTGGGTGCCTGAGCCGGACAGCTTGCACGTGCGCAGCATACGCTCCAGCACCTCTGACAGGACCTGTGCATGGGGTGGAGAGAGGTCGTGAGCAGCGTTGGTTGGCGGGAGTGTGAGGGTATGAGCACGGCGAAACGGATGTTGACACATGCGTGGCGGAGCTGTGTTGGAGAAGCAATACACAGGCAAGCGAAAGGGACAACTGCACAGGCAAGCGGAAAGGGTCAAAACCACAAGCAAGCGAAAAGGACAACTGCACAGGCAAGCGAAAGGGACAAATGCACAGATTTGCCTGCACACAGACGGGTAGACACACACGCACACACCCACCCACACATAGACACAGACACACGCATACGCACACGCACGCAACCGCACCTCATGTTGGTCTGATTTGCTTGTCTCGTTGATGATGCCTGCAATGTAAGAACCATATGTGATTGTATCCTCGATACCAACGCGGCGCAAGTGAGCAACAATGCAAGCGGGCGGGGGCTGATGCTCAGCCATGCCGCGCCCAGCGCTGTGCTGCTCTGCGCTTGTTGCCGCTTCCTCTCTGCCTGGCTCAATATCGAGGGTGCTCGTCACCAGTGTATGCTCGTGTCTCTGTGCAATCGTTATGCAAGTGTTGTCGTTGCAGCTGCAGTCGTTGTCGTTGCTGTTGCGGCCGTGACGATAACCTCACGCTTCAGTCAGAACAAGGCGAGGCCTTTCCTTCGTCTGTGCGCTTCGCGCTGTTTGCTTCGACTTGTACTGGGTGGCTGAGCGGTCGATTGCGGGGGTCGTGGTGAATCAAGGGCAGGAAGGAAAGTGACGTGCGCCCATCCAACACGACCCTTCGAAGGGAAGAGAGGGATGAGAAACACGAACTTCTATCAATCAGCGGAGGCGAAGCGGCCAAGTCGAGAATCCGTGGGAGTTGGCAGCGTGGAAGCGAGCGAGCGCACAAAGGGGGTGATGGTGGTGAATAAGGGAGGTCCTCGAAGGAAGGAAGAGGGGTTCGATACCTGCAATGAATCAACCATCAAGGCACACAAGGTGGCAGAAACGGAAGAAGGTCGGCGCATTCGACACCGTGAGCAACATGGCCTCGACTCCAAAAACGAATAAGCATTGACACACACACACACACACCAAGGCACAACAAGCAAGGAGGCGCACCACGCACCAAGGACACATTGCCAACAAACACAGGCACACGCACTTGCTTCGGAATCTCCCTCACCTCGCACGCACTTGTTGGTGGTCTGTGTTGCTTTGTCGGCTCGCTTGTCACGTCACAGCATTCGCTTTGTGGAGGATCAGATGAAAATATGCACAAATCCTCTACAACGGCCACGGTTGTGCGGACGATGATGAGGAAGAAGAGGTGGACATGGGTGTGGTGTGGCTGGTGTGGCAGCGCTGTGTGCCATCGGTGTGCTGGCCTCCGCACTGTATTGTTAGCAGCAGTGCTGATCACTACCCTACCCCTGCGCAGCACTGGTAGTGAGGGTGGCAGTGAGCGCACAACATTTGAGCTGGTAGGAGGGCAGGCGGCGCTGGCTGCGTGGACGACGAGTGAAGTGGAGATGGTTCCAACAGACGCGTCATTGTGTGAAATGAGCAGTGGGAACAATGGCGGTGGTGAGGGCGAAACACGCATGGTGCCTCGCTACAGCGGCGGCATTAGAATTTCGCCACGACCAGTGGTCGTTGTTGCGCCCGAAGCTAAAGCCAGTCCAGAAGCATGCGGCGTGCCAAGCCCGTTCAAGCTGGATGCCGGCGTGTGCATACGGCTTGCTGAATCACCATCGCTGGAATTGCGTTCCAGCCATACTGCCACCGGCCATGGCAGCAGCAGCAACAGCAATACTAGCAACAGCAGCATCAGTGGTGAAGTGATGTGTCTGCCATCGTTCTTGATCATTGGCGTGATGAAGGGAGGAACAGCAGAGGTTCAAAGCTGGCTGGGCCAACACCCTCTGCTGCATCGTTGGGGAGGTGCGTGGATCAGTGGATCTGGCGAGGCGCACTACTTTGACAAGGTGGACAGCGATGCAAACCTGCAGGCAACCTGGCTTTCCAACTATCTCCGGCGTGGCCTTGCCCTCAACGCAACGGAAAGCCCAGCCATCACATACACCTTCGAAAAGACCCCCAGGTGAGGCGCGCTGTGTGTGTTTGTATCTGTGTATCTGCGTTGTGTGTGTATCTGTGTATCTGTGTTGTGTGTGTGTATCTGTGTATCTGTGTTGTGTGTGTGTATCTGTGTATCTGTGTTGTGTGTGTGTGTGTGCAATGTTGTGCCATTTTTGGCGCAGGCACCAACTTACTCACCCAGCTAGCGTGGAAGCTCTGTCATCTCACACACTCTCACAACACGCATGCACAATCACACACGCTTACTCTCTCTACACACGCACACAATCACACACACACACCCTTGCCCTCCAGTTATGTGTTCATGCGGGAGGAAGCCATCGCACGCGTGCGCCGCGTGCTGCCGAGTGCGAAGCTGATTCTCCTGCTGCGGTCACCAGCAGCACGCGCATACAGCCACTTCCAACACAACTGCTTCAAGCGACGCGTGTGGAAGGTGAGCAACGCCAGCGCGCACCTGCCGGCACACATTCGCGGCCGCGTCATCAGCATGCCGTCCACACTGCGCGGGAAGAACAAGCGGCGACGTGAATCTGTTGTTCGCTTCGTCAACAAGGCGTTCCAGGCGCACGCGGAGGTGGGCGATGTGCAGCTGCTGCACCACCCGTGCAGTGCGCGCGATTTCGACGTGTTTGTGCGCATGCAGGCCAACGGTGCTGTGGATGAATCGGCAGCCATCACCATGACGCCAACCAACAGCATGGTGCTACGGCGCGGGCTGTACGCGGCTGCCATTCGACGGTGGCTGCAGCACTTTGATCGTTCCCAACTCCTCATCCTCTTGACAGAGGCCATGCAAGCCGACATGCTCGCCACCATCGACACCATCCTGTGTGTGTGTGTGTGTGTGTGTGTGTGTGTGTGTGTGTGTGTGTGTGTGTGTGTGGTGTTTATTTATGCGTGCGTCTCGTTCAGTTCTCTCTTGCTCCTCTTGCTCCTCTTCCTCTTCATCTTCCTCCCCACCGTCACCATCGCCACGGCCACCCACAATCCTCCCCCCCTCCCCACTCACCCACACGCTACCATCGTACAGGACTTTCTTGGCATCCCGCGTGCCGATTACGCAACACATGCGCGCACGAATGAGCGCGGCTTCACGGTATTGGAGGAGATGCAGTCCAAATCAGGCAAGCCCCACTACGGCCCCATGCTGCTATCAACGCACCACTCCCTCCTTCGCTTCTACGAAGAGGACATCCGAGAGCTGTTTGCATATGTACACGCGCACGACATTCTCAAGTACTGGGAACTTCCAGAGCGCAGCGCTGTTGATGGTGGTGGTGGGAACGAAAGGAAGGAGGAAGACGGCGAGGGATACAATGACGATGACGAAGGCAACTATGATGACGACTACGGTGAAGAGGATGATGATGATGATGCGTAAGCTGAAGCTAAATGTGGTTACGGTTTTTCACCTGTACGCACCTCCTGCTTCAATGTCACGCTCGTGCCCAGAGGTTCATTCTGACACCTGATTCAATGTCGTATTTTATTTGACGGTATTCGACTTTTAATCCCTTGTTCGACTAGTTGCTGCTCTTACCGATGGGTTTAGCCTAGGCCAAGAACACACATGCACACACACACATGCACACATGTGCACTGTCTCTCTGCCTCTGTTACACGAACACAACACACACGCACACGAACACACAAACACACACGCACACACAACACACGAACACACACACACACACACAACACACGAATACAACGCACACTAGGCCAGTTTAGCAGCGCGAATAAACGTCTCAATCTTGTCCCTGTCCTTGCGTCCATCCGTTTCAACACCGGACGAAACATCCACTGCAAACGGGCGCACCGCCGCCACCTTCTCCCCAATGTTGTCCACAGTCAGCCCGCCAGCCAGCATCAGCGGCAGCCCGTGCTCCCGCACCAACGACGCGGCGAGCGCGTGGTCAAACGCAATGCCCGTGCCGCCAAGGGCGCCTTTGCTCTTGGTGTCGAGGAGGATTGCGTCAGGCTGCACGCCAGGCTCAACCGCGCGTACATGCTGTGCCACGTCAGCAGCAGTGGTGGTTGGGGCGATGTGCGTGGCCTTGATGACAATGGAGGTGGAATCAAACGCCCGCGCAGCGTCAATCCCTTCGGTGCCAGACAGCTGGATGACGTCAAGTGGTACAGCGCGTGCAATGTCGGCAACAGCGGCTGCATCTTGGTTGGCGAATACACCAACAACAAGCGGCCGGTACGCCGCCAGCATACGCAATCGCGAGGCCGCACGCGCATAGTTGGCAAACACGTCTGTAAAGCGCATGTGAAAGGAGAATTAGGAAGCAGGGCTATGATGGAAACTTGTGTATGTGTGTGTGTGTGTGTGTGTGTGTGTGTGTGTGTGTGTGTGTGTGTGTGTGTGTGTGTGTGTGTGTGTGTGTGGACTGAGTATTTGCAAAAAGCAAGTGTAGCAGCGACAACATGAATACAAACACAAACACTAACACACCAACACAAACACACACACAGACACACAAACACAAATGCACACCTTCGTCAGCAGCGCGGACACGGCTGCGGATGCCGGGTGTGAGTGCTGGTGGAAGATCCGCCAACTTGCGAACGGCAGCAGCAATAGCGCTCGCTTGCTCCACCGTCACCTTCCGTGTGGACCCCTCTGCAAACACGAGGCCAACCATGTCCGCACCGCACGTGATCGCGTGCATCGCCATTGCAGGCGTCTTGACGCCGCAGATCTTCACGAGGACACCAAGGGGCGTGGTCGAGGGCACAGCCGTCGTGGAAGCAGGTGTGGGTGGGGGTGCAAGTGCAGGCTCCAACCCGCGCAATTGCGCAATCTTCACGGCAGGATCGGGCGCGCGCATGAGCGATTCACCGACCAGCACCTGTTGAGGGCAATGGTGGCAGGAAGGAGGGAAAAAACACAGCAGCCGTAGTGTGACGTGGTGATGATGAAGACATGTTGTAGCAAGTGCTCGACACGAAAAAGTCAAGCAACCAACCACGCAAACACGTACAAAGGAAGCACATAAACACAAACACACGCACATCCACACAAACACACGCACACGCACACACGCAAAAACACATACATGCACACATATAAACACGCACACATACAAACACCGTCACACACACCATTACACACACATACACACGCACACGCACACAGAAGCCGACGCACCGCCTTGCATCCTGCTGCCCGGTACCGCTGGACATCCAGGCGCGTGTTAATGCCACTGAGGGCACACACAATCGTGGATGCACGCAGGCCACCCTGCACGCTCGAAATCACGGTGGCGGTGGTGTTGGTGTCGACGGAAAAATCTTTCAGGTTGCGGTTGTTGATGCCAATGACAGCAGCGCCTGCAGCGACAGCGCGGGCCATCTCGCCTGGGGTGGCCACCTCAACCAGGGGCTCCATGCCAAGACTGCGGCACGTGGCCATGAGTGATGACAGCTGTGCGTCTGACAGGATTGCCACAATCAGGAGGCACGTGTCTGCCCCGTATGCGCGTGCCTCGTACACCTTCAACATGCACGGGGGTTAGTGTTGTGGGTGACAAGGGTGTTACATTGCGTTCCGGGAGAGCACGAAGAACAGAACAGGGCAATCAACCAAGTCGCTCACACACAATCAACCAAGGTGTCCGCACACACACACACACACACACACACACACACACACACACACACACACACACACACACACACACACACACACACACACAGAACCCAACTCCCCCCCCACACACACCTGGTATTCGTCGAGGAGAAAGTCCTTGCGAAGGAAAGCGGGTCTGTCGCCGTCGTCATGAAACACATTACGTGCAGCGCGCAGATCGTCCAGCGTGCCTTTGAACCACGTGGGCTCCGTCAGCACGGATATGGCAGCAGCCCCACCACGTGCATACCGGCGCGCTTGCTCGTCGGCCTTCATATCTGGCGCAATGTCCCCGCGACTTGGGGATGCCCGCTTCACCTCCGCCATCACCGCCATGGGCTGACACGCGCGCAAGCGGGCAGCAAAGTCGATGGGAGGCGGCTGCGACGCTGCGCGGCGTTTCATCTCTTCCAAGGACACCTCTTCTTTGCTCGTGGCAACATCCCTGAGGCGCTGCTGGCTGATCACCGCCAGGATGTCTTGCTTCTTGCCGCCGGTGGACGCGGTCGTCTTGCCAGTGACAGAGAAGCGGCGCGTGTAGGCAACGAGCTTGTCAAGTTGTGTCTCCACGTGGCCCAGCACGGCAGCTGTTGGTGCCGCCAGGTGCAGCCGAATCGGGGCGCCGCACGCCAGTGCCTCCAACGCGCGCGCAATGGTGTTCCAAGCGGTGGCCGCCTTTGTGTTGCGAGCCGTCAGCACGTGCCTTAGGTTAGAGACGGCAACACGTGCATCAACCCCTGTGCTGGGGGCATGGCCAAGTGGCAGTGAGCCAACAAACGCCAGGCCCGGCGGAACGTCGATGCCGGCTGGCACTGCTGCCGATGGCGCTGTCTCTGTGTGCAGGGCTGTATGGGTGCCCTTGGGGTCCGTCGCCCCTTTGCTGCTCCACTCGAACAAGTGCACGTGCTGCTGTTCCTGCGCGGATGTTGCTGGTGTTGCGGGTGATGGGATGCCGAGAAGCGCGCGTTGGACAGCCCCACCTTCAGCTGCCTCCTTGTCAAGCGAGCGCACTGTAGATGCGAGCTGATCTGGCGTGGCCAGCGCGAAGAACCGATGGCGCGGCGTGTTTCCTTGTGCACTGAGGCCTTGCATCCCGCCACTGCTACTGCTGTTGCTGTTGTCGCTACTGCAGTTGTTGTTGTTGTTGGTGGTGCCACTGTGCTGCTCCTGATCACCGGTTTTGCTGCGCTTCTGTGCTGGCTGATCGCCTGTGGCAGCGTCAGGGCCGCGTGCATCGCTCTCCAACGCAAAGTTGTGCAGGTGGAGGGCATCGCGGCACTGCTGTGCAGAGAGGTTCAGCTCCATGCCCAGCTGTCTGAGCAGCTGCATGGCCAGTGGACACTGCGACGTGGCGCAAGTCGTCACCTTGACGCCCCCACGAGGGGCGCAGGCCGCAAACACCGCAGCAAACAACGCGTCTGCACCCCAGCTCACAGCACTGTCCCCTGCACCCGCTGCTGCCACCTGCACGTGCAGTGCCACCACCCAAGGGCTAGGACCACCGCCATCACCATCACCGAGAGCAGCACGCCCTCCAGTGCGGGCCTCGTCGTCGTCATTCCGGCTCATGTTGCTCGTCTTTGTTGTTGTTCGCAGTCGTTGCTGTTGACGAAATTTATGCATGATTTCCAGTGACATTTCGCGGCCAGCAACCAGCACAACAACCACAACAGCTCGACACTCCTCCTTGACTGCACGCAGCCCTTCCCCTTGCCTGCAGGCATCGTGTGGTTTGAGGACGCAGTCAGTGGGGAAGGACTGCTGCCGGGCGTGCTTGGTTGTTGTGAAGAGAAAGCAGGACAAAGGACTGCCTGCCACACCTGTGCTTGCAGTTCAGTGTCGACCGTGTTGCTTGTGTTGAGGCATTTCTGCTTTCTACACGAAGACGCAAGCAAGAGAGTAACGAACGAGATCGCTGGGGCTGAATCGAGCGAGCTCTGGTTTGCTGGCGCCCACCCAACGTCTGGTGACACAAGACCAAATCGGCCCACATTACACTACATTCATTCATTTGCCTTTGCCTCTCAATCATTATGCAAGCCAACGAAGTTGCATTCGAGATGGACCGGATTCCAGCAGAAGGCGGGTCCAGGGATCACGTTCCTCAAGATCAACGCCCGCCGCCACAACAACAACAACAACGGCAGGGATCGAGGCAAGCCTGGGTCGACGAGACTGGAGATACATCTTCGGGCACTGGCACGGTCAGTGCACAACAACAACAACAACAACAACAACAACAACAACAACAACAACAACAACAACAACAACAACAACAACAACAACAACAACAACAACAACAACAACAACAACAACAACAACAACAACAACAACAACAACAACAACAGCGGGATCGTCACATTGATGCCGACCATGCTGCTGCTGATGATGAAGGTGATGATGATGATGGTGATAACGATGATGATCAGCAAGAGGACGATGACCATCTCGACGTAGACTCTCTGCAGCAGTCGGGGAACTCGAAGAAAGAAAGGTGCCCGTCCCGAACAGGCACACTCTCCACGCGATCGTCTGCCCCGAGCAACCTCACCAACTCCCAGACCACCCGTCGCCAGGGTTCCAACGCCCAGACACCCAGCATCAACAACACACCCCTGCCCGGCGAAGACACCGGCGGCGACGACGACGCCGTCAACACGCGCATGCTGTTTCACGACCATGGCGCGTCGTGCATGGTACGCCTGATCTCTACGGGCCACCTGATGGTGTCCGCAGGCCGATACAGCATCAATCTCTGGAACACGGGCACTGGCACTTGCATCCACACACTCCCCTGCGAGCGGCCTGTGGTACAGCTGTGCATGTCCAGAGACGACAGATTTGTTGTTGCTGGCCTCGCCAACGGCAAGGTGGTGGTGTGGAACATCGAGTCGTCCGCCCCATCCGCCGTGAGGCCTGCTGTCGAAGCGCACGAGCGCGCGGCCGAGTTCATCGCAATCGCCCCAGACTCAAGCAGCTTCGCCTCCAGCGATGGCACGTCCACGGTCAAGCTCTGGGACCTCAAGACCCAGGCCCTGCTTGCCACCGTGAAGGTCAGCAACCTGAGCCAGCTCGCCATGCCACTCGAGCGACCATGGCTCGTCCTTACGGACACCCTCTTCAACGACAGGCCTGTCGTCAAAATCTTTGATCGCCGCATCCCTTCCAACGGCACCCTGCCGTGCATTGGGTGCCTTGACGAGCAAGGCGCATTTGCGCTGCGCATGTGCAAGATCCAGGACACGCGATGCTTCTTCACGTCGCATGGCCCCAAGATTACAGCCTGGGTGGCAAACTCGTTCACCATTGAGAATGTTCGCGCTGCTCGTCGCCACAGCCGTGTTGGTGCAGGCCAAGACGCGGTCCCAGCACCACAGCCGTTCCTGTCGTGGGAAGTGCAAGGCTGTTCCATCAAGTGCCTTGCCGTGTCGCCGCACTCGCCCATTGTCATGGCTTCCAGCGGTGGGTTGTGCGCGTGTTGTGCTTGCGTGTGTGTGTGTGCGTGTGTGTGTGTGTGCTTGTGTGTGCGTGTTTGTGCTTGCGTGTGTGTGTGTGTGTGTGTGCGTGTTTGTGCACGCATGTGCACATGTGCGTGGGTGTTTCGTTGTGCTGCATGGTTTGCTCTGTATATGATGTGAACTGTGTGCCATTGTCATTGCATGGCAGCACTGTACAAGAAGCAAGCTGCATGATACATGTACTTTTCCCCTTGTTGTGTGCTTGGGGGTCCTTGCCTTCCCTGGCTGGCCACATTGGTGTTATTGTTGTTCTCAATGCACCTGCACTTCCTCACCAGCTCATTCTCACAGTGACGCCTCCTCATTTCCCCTTCCCCTTCACGCACAACCAGACGATCACACCCAGGTGTGGACAGCAGCCACCAAGGTGACCTCAATCCCGCACACTTCTGCGCTCACGCTGGCAACCAACACAACCGTGAAGGTGAACATGGTGCTCCTGGGTATTCTGGAGCGCGTGGTCCAGCCCGTCCACTTCTGTGCCGACGACGAGCACGTGATCAGCTTCTCCGACACCACCATCTCCGTGTACAGTGTGCCGTCCCTTGTTTGCCGCATCAAGCTGCGCCACCGCTTCAACATGACGAGCGACATCAGCGTGTCCCGCTCTGATCTACCCGTCATCGCCTCTGCCCATGCGGACACGCTGTGCCTGTGGCCCGTACCGCCGCGCCCAGACGTGCCTTGCTTCACGGACGGCGCGCGCAGGATGTGCCCCCTACCCAACAACCGCGTGGTTGCGTCGTCGTTTCTCAACTGCGAGCAGTTGCAAGTGTGGGACTTGCACTCCAACAGCTGCCTGGTCATTATGGACCAACACACTGCGTAAGTTGTATGATGATGATGATGATGATGATGATGATGATGATGATGATGATGATGATGATGATGATGATGATGATGATGATGACAGACATGCATGTGCGAGCGAGCTCATAGACTGCGTACATATGTGTGTGCATGCATGCAAGCAAGCGTTTAAGCGTGCATGTGAGGGAATGGATGTCAGCACGCATGAATTTAAATGTGATGACACGCACACACACACACCGATGTACACTGTGACACAGCAACACCTGTCAACTCACTCTGTCTTCTGTCTGTTGTCCTTCACCCAAACAAACACACACAAACGCACACATACACACACCCAAACAAACACACACAAACGCACACAAAATAGCGACGTATCTGCCCTGTGCGCAACGGACTCTGTGATCGCGTCTGCATCTGAGGATGGCATGTTGTGCTTTTGGGACATGGTTGAGCTTGAGCTTCTCCACTCAAAGCGCGCACATGGTGACGCCATCACCAGCGCATGCGCCACGCGCGACGGCGAGCTCATTGTCACCGGCTCGCGCGACAAGACCGCAAAGCTGTGGAGCACGACATCGTACGAATGTGCCGGCACACTTGCCAACGACGACGACGACGCGGCCATCGTTGACGTGTGCGTGACAGCAGACGACACCCATATCCTGGTGGGCAGCTGCGCGGACCTGGTCACCATGTACTCACGCAACACCTTGACCCCCGTGACGACATTCGAGTGCAGCGACATTTACAGCTTGTGTGCCACGCCGGATGGCGCGTATATCCTGTGTGGCTGCGACAAGGTAATCCGCGTGTGGAACGCGCAGACCCTAGCACGTGTGTGCACCATTGACGGCCACGACGGCGCGGTGGTGGATCTCGCCTGCTCGACGAGTGGCCCGTTTGTTGCGTCCACGAGCGTTGACGGCGCCCGCCTGTGGGACCTGAGCACCGGCGAAGAGGTCGCTGCATTCGCCACATTTATGGGCACTTGCGACAGCATATGCTTCTCCAACGACCAGCGCAGTCTCCTGGTGGCAGATCGGCAAATCAAGAAGTACAGCCTGGACGCCATTCTCAGCAACAGCAGTCGCGACAACAACCACAACAACAACAACAACAACAACAACAACAACAACAACAGCAATACCAGCAGCACCGGGACCTTCGGCAATGCAGACAACACGCCTGAGGCGCCTGCGTTTCCATGGTACGCCCTCATCCTCCCTGCAAACAGCGATGAGACGGCTTTCCTGAAGCGCGCGATCACGTCGTTTCCGCACACCATCGACACCCGCGTGGACCTCGCCCTCATGGACTTTGATGTGCCGGCAGAGGACATCAAAGGGTATGCGGAACAGCACCCCACGTTCTTGGCGTGGCTGGTGAGCAATCCACGACGCCTTCGTGCTGCACAGGCTGTCTTCTCATGCATCACGGTGCAGGAGCTTGACCTGTCCATCCGGCCATCCGTGCTTCGCGCTGCTATTAGCGCCTCCAAGGACGCCGACATGACGCAGCTTGTGACACGCAAGATCTGTGCTGCTGCGCGTGCGTGGGACGCGTCCCTGGGCAACAACGGGCTCCGCGCCACCAACGCGAGCACCAGCACCGGCACCAGCACCAGCACCGGCACCAGCATCAGCACCGGCACCGGCACCAGCACGGCGTGGAAGCTGAATGCGCCCCAGCTCAGCGGCAGCTTCACACGCGATTTGATCATGCTGGTGCAGACGTTTCCGGACATTGCAGCCGTGTTCCTGCGCGACCTTGGCCTGCTCTGCTCCACTGCACACGTGCGTGGCAGCAGCGACCGGTTGGCAGTGCGCTTCCCACATTCGGGCATGTTCGTCGCAGGCAGCGGCCGCTTCCCCGCCGTCAAGTGGCGCACCATCCTGCCCAACAGCGCGCGCACGCCCGCGGGTGTGGCTGGCCGAACGACGCCAGCCCAGGAGCGCGTTGTGCCCGTGCCGTTTGCATGCTCGCCAATCACACGCGGACCGAGCTTGCTGCAGGCACTGGTGGAGACGGGTGATGCGGGGCTGTTTGACAATCCGACCGCCCGGGCCATTGTCGAGTTCAAGTGGGAGGCATTTGGGCGGCGCAAGTTCCTCTGGGCAGCCTTGTGGCACGTGCTCTCTGTTGCGCTTATGACCACGCTCACCTTCGTGTTCAACACCAGCGGGGAGAAGCTGCTTGAGCTGCTTGGCCCTGATGATGAGGTTGATCCCTCACGCAACGCAGGCACTGACATTGCGTCAGTGGTCATCACCTTGTTGCTGGCGGTGCTGGCCATCGTTGAGCTGCGCCATGTGGTGAAGCGCTTGCACGCTGTGTGGGGCTACTGGCGCGATTTGTGGAACTGGCTGCACATACTGAACACGCTGCTCGTGTTTGTGGTGCTGTTCACCAGCTTCTTCGGGTGGGCACACGCGCGCGCTTTCCTCGCCATTGCGGTGTACCTGCGGTGGTACGGGCTACTGTACTTCCTGCAGCCGTTCCAGTCGACCGGGCCCCTCATCCGCACGATCCTGGCCATCTGCTATGACATTCGTTACTTCTTGCTCGTTCTCGGCATCAGCATCGTGGCCGCATGGTCGTCGTTCCGGTTGCTGCTGCGTGATGACAACACGCTTCCCCTTGAAGAGCTTGGTGACCCGGCCAACGGCCTGCTGCTCATGTTCAACATGCTGCTGCTGGCAGACTTTGACCTGGACACCTTTGATGGCGAGTACGTGGTGCTGCTGCGCATTCTGTTTGTCATCTCCACGGTGCTGGTCCCCGTTGTGCTGCTGAGCCTGCTGATTGCGCTCATGTCGGACTCGTACGAGCGCATCCAGGACCGCGCAGACATTGAGTTCCAGCTGCTGCGCGCACGCATCTTGCGGGAGCAGGAGGCGTTCTTCAGCGTACCTGAGAAGCGGGATCCCAAGCTGCATCCCAAGTGGCTGCACGTGCTCGTGCCCAAGGACACGGCTGGTGGCAGCGAAGGCACTGGCCGGTGGCAAGGGGTGCTGCACGCGTTGAAGAAGGAGGTGTCTTCGAAGACGGACAACCTGAACCAGCGCATGGATGGGCTGGAGAAGCACATTGCCAAGTCCATGGCGGACACGAAGCGGGAGACACATGCGCGATTGGCGGACATGGAGCGGAAGCTTGACCAGCTGCTCTTCTCGCTCACACCGCGCAGCTTTCCAGAAGAGCCTGGCAGAAGGGAGAGCGCAGACAGAAGAGAGAGCACGGACAGTGCTTCCCGCGCATAACACAAAGCAGTGTGTGTGTGTGCGTATGGAGTCAATCTTGCACTGCGATGGGCATTTCCCCACCACGACTTGCTTTGCTGTTGACTTGCTTTGCTGACCCCACGATGCTGCCTGTGTTCATTCAATATGTAGTTGTTTCCAGTTCATGCGCTTTGCTTGGACAGCTGGCGCGCATGTTTGCCTGCTTGCCTGCTTTGCCTGCTTGCCTGTTTGCCCGTGTCCATACCCAACAATGAATCGAAAGAACGAGCACAGCGGCGACGAGGACAACAAGCAGAGAGTCCGCACATTCACCTCATCAACTCGTCAACAAACAACAAAACCAGGCAAGGATGCGCAGTGTGGTTGTTTCGCCTGTGTTGGCGGTTATGGCATGTGTGGTGTGTCTGTTGGCTGGCGTCGGGCTGCACGCTGTTGTGTTGCCGCGGTTGCGTGGAGACAGCGCCGCTGGTACCAGCATTGAGGGCAGCGAGCTGCCACAGGAGGACCCTCGTCGCATGAGCAGCCAGGAGCAGCCGGAGCCGTGGCGACCTGTTCCATTGCACCAGTGCGCAGACACGAGCTTGGCTGTGCTGTTCACCTTCCATGCAGGCAAGCAACTCGCCGATGCCGTGGCGTTCCTGCAACAGCTGCAGGCCATGAAGCCATGCTTTCACACCCCAGCCACACTGATCATCTTCACCGAGACGGAGCAGTCCAAGCAGCTCGCGGTGCGTACAGGGAATGCGTGTGTGTGTTTCGGGTGCAGGATACAAGGGAGCTTCGTTTCTTTGCATGCGAGTGGTTGTGTCGATCTTGGTCTCATTGCTTCATGAACACGGGGTGCTGCTCAGGTTGACGAGCTCACGGAGCACTTGAAGGCGGATACCATCACAGGCGTAAGTGTGAACTATGGTGTGAAAAGCCCTTGCCTGCATGCACGCGGTTGTGTGTCTGTGTGTGCGCGCGCGAGCGTGTGTGCATGTGTGTGCATGTGTGTCTGTCTGTCTGTCTCTCTAGTGTCTCTGTCTCTGTCTCTGCCTCTCTCTCTCTCTGTCTGTCTCCCCCTCTCCCTATCTGTCTGTCTGTCTGTCTCTCTCTCTGCCTCCCTGCCTCTGTGTGTGAGGCCACTCACGGGTGACCACCACATGCGATCGTTGTCACGGATTGGTAGTGCTTCCCAGAGGTGGAGTTTCGTTCAGCACAGCTGACACCAGCCCAGGACACGTATCCCAAAGGCGCTTCTCTCCAGTTTCACGCAGCCCTTGACCAGGTATCCAATCGTGTGCACATGTGCCTTCGTGTCTGCAAACGAACGTACGTGGAGCTGCATACCTCACTCTGTCTACATCATTCCTTTCGTGTTTGTTCTCAACACCTCCATCTGCACTGGCGTTGCAGGTGCAAGGAAGGTTCGACTACACGCTACTCATTGAGCCAGATGTCGTCGTACTCCAGCCAGGTATGGGCTTGTCATGTGTGTTTGCTTGTGTATGCATGCATGCGTGCATGAGTGCATGCGTGTGTGTGTGT